AAGCAAAATTTCAATATCAGACACTTAGGTGCGAGATTATGCCAAAATTTCATGTTTTCCTTCCGGTTTTTGTATTTGGCATCATTTTAAGCTAAAAAGTCGTAAAAATCGCCGATAATGGGCATTTTACGGCTTGAGTTCTTTCCCGTTGTTGCTTTTAACAATGCAAAATCCATGGGATTTATAAATAGTCTCCCAACAAGTTCAAATGTCGCCGCTAAACACTTTAAAGGCTCCTTTGCCTAATACAGTTGGACGGATGGCAAAGTCGAAAAAGTGGACAGACCGTTTGAAGTGGATCCTTTTGGCAAAAACATCTGCAAAAGACGTACTTAATTACAAAGCAACGCGAATGCTGCAGAGTAAACAGTGCGTTTATTTGAAAACTTAGCAGTCATCACCTGGGGCCATTTAAATAGAAATGTTGGCAATTGAGAAGTTTCTTTTACGCTTTGGGTGGATGTTAATGGATAGAAGCGTCGCGAAGAACCAACTTTTCCAATAAAAATCTCCTTGCAAAGACCTTGGGATGGACAAGCAGAAATGCACAACTTCCGCATGGAATGCAAAGGGTGTACCTTCACAACTTCACTAAAATTTTCTTTATGGTGGCAATGTAAATGCCGGCAGAGCATATTGGTAAAATTCAATTTCATGAACCTTTCTTGCTACCAGCGGAATTTCGTTTTCGTTTAATAACGGCTCGGATCGTGGGTCTTGACAAGAAAATTCAATTTCACTTACCGTGGCTGTCCTTCGTTACATTACGGAGGTGAAAGCGATCAAACTCAGATCAATTAAACTTGTCTTGAAGAAATAGTTGCTACGGGCTTTGGATTGGAAAATGAGGTTTTTTAGGGTGAGGCAAAAACATGTTGGTCAGCCATTGATATGAAACTTTCAGCGTCGTTAAGACAATTTATTTTCTAAAGTCGGTTGAACACTTTAGGTTGCTACTTGCCTTAAATTGGAAGATGCGAGTTTTTAAAGGGCAGGGAGCAGTTAAGGAGAACATCCATTTTTAAACTGGTCGTTCCAGTTTGGAAAGCTGGAAAAAATGTGTATTTAGGCCTACTTATACGAAACTTTCAGCATCTAGACCGAAGGAAAGTGTGCAGATAAAGTCGTTGTGTCTACTTTAGCTTGGAGGCACTCTTTTTCTTATAATGTTGCTACTGTGGACATTTTAAGAGCGCCAAAATTATATCAAATTTTCAGTGTTTGTAGAGTTAAGTGTCTTCTAGCGACTGGGAAATTATCAAATTGCTATTAGTTTGGGTTAGCGTGGCTGGCAAAAATCTGTTTTGTAGCTGATTTTCAAGAGACTTTCTGCATCTGTCGCCTGAAGTGTCTTCTAGAGATGGGAAAAGTTGCACGTTGCTACTGGCTTTAGTTTGGAAGAGGCGAATTTGTGAAACTGGGAGCACATTTGAAAAAAAACATGCACTTTTAAACCCATACTTACAGCGTCACAAAAATCAGAACATTGAGTGAGTTTTACGTTCAACCAACCCAAGTGTCTTCTAAAGATGGTGAAAATTTCAAGTTGCTGTTTGCCTGAGTTTAGAAGGTATGAACTTTTAAGGGAGGGAAAAATCCTGCATTGATTTTGAGATCCACATTTAGCCAGCAAAAATCGGGATTTTGGGTGGTCGTTACGGAAACATTTGCACCTAAAGTGCCAAGTATTTTCTAAAGATACTGAAATTTTAAAATTACTGCCTGCTATTGCTAAATTCCTGCCGATCACGATATTAAAACTCAAATATTAAAGAGACGAAGCTGAACACCCGCGCTTGAACCACACATTTAAATGCGTGTTTATCATACTCTATAAAATTATGGACTGATACAATGTGGGTTTTACACTAGTCATCACTGAATATTGTTTCCCTTCGAGTCTTAGCAAGAAAATTTAGTTTCACTTACGAAGTTGAAAGGGATGCGCCTCAAACTTCTTTGAAGACAATCTTGGCGTGTTCAAGCAGCCTTTTGATTTTTCCTTCCTAACTTTAGTTTTATACAAAATTTGACATTGAATTTTACTCCCTGTATTGTGGAGCTTCCTTTAAACGCAGCTCGCTTAATATTCAAGGCGCTCACTTCCCTTCCAGGCTAATTTGGGTGTAAATCAAATTTTTCCTTACACTGTTGGAGTTTATTCATTGTATATTTATAAGTCGCTGAAAATTTTCATTACGGTTCAGTGTTTATAAACTTTTGCTCCGGTTTTTTAATTTTTTGCATCTATTCGCGCTTTTTTCGAACTCTTAACTCTTCAAACTTTATCAGACTGGACCCAGATACTAATTACTCAGCAACTAAGATGCAAAGCTGATCGTAATTGAAGCTTAATAAGTTTCATTGTGTAGCTGAATAGAGAGGACATTAGCTAATGTTTTTCATCACTTAGCTGCCATGAAAACATACAAATATGGACCTGAACTTGCCCTTGAAAGGAAACTTTTTTGTGTAGCAGAGTAACGTCTAAGTGATCTGTTGACAGGAAATTGAACGCTTCTTCACATGATGTATCTGAGTTTTCCCGATGTGGAGTTGGGAAACAATGGGATAAATATCA